ATGTGTACTGTCTTGTCACTTGCTCTTCCCTCACTTTCTCATTCTTTTTTTTCCCCCCAGCTGCACACGATACCATTGAACTGATGTAATTTATTTAACTAGTGCCCAATTAATTGGTATTTAGTTGTTTGCGGTCTTTTGCTATGACAGTGCTGAAATGAATAATCACATTTATATGTCATCTTGCACGCATGTAGGATAAATGCTAGAGGAGAAGTTGCTGGGTCGAAAGGAATGTACATCATAACTTCGCTAGATACTCCCAAATTGCCCTCCAGGAACTCAGACCAATTTCTAGCCCCATCAGCAATGGATGAGCATGCCTGTTTCCTCACACTGCCCACACACTGTGTTATCAAACCTTTTGACCTTGGCTGCCTGATAGGTAAAAAAAAAAAAAATAATAACCTCAGTGTAATTTTTAGTGATGGTCCAATCTTGAAAAACTAGAAAATAGCCTGTCTGCTACTTTTGCCTTTGGGGTGATGATCTAGTGTGGTGTTTCCAACTTTTTATGGTGGCAGAGGAATTGGACTTGATCTTGAACCACCTGGGACTGCCCGCATGAGTGAATAATGGTTAAAACATTAAAAAAACAAATCCATATAATCCTTTAAACAATAGACATTACATAGGTGGTATGAAGTGGCTAAGCAAATCATTAAAAACTGTGTGCTCTGGTTTTATTTATGGTGGAGCATCCTCTCCAATCTTGTTATGACATATAGGACTTAAGATCAAAGGCTCGGCCGGGCGTGGTGGCTCACGCCTGTAATCCTAGCGCTCTGGGAGGCCAAGGCGGGTGGATTGTTTGAGCTCAGGAATTCGAAACCAGCCTGAGCAAGAGCGAGACCCCGTCTCTACTAAAAATAGAAAGAAATTAATTGGACAACTAAAAATATACAGAAAAAATTAGCCAGGCATGGTGGCGCATGCCTGTAATCCCAGCTACTTGGGAGGCTGAGGCAGGAGGATCGCTTGAGCCCAGGACTTTGAGGTTGCTGTGAACTAGAATGATGCCACGGCACTCTAGCCCGGGCAAAAGAGTGAGACTCTGTCTCAAAAAAAAAAAAAAAAAAAAAAAAGATCAAACGCTCGCAGAAACATGGCACCAGCAACTTAAGTGAGGTCAGCAGTGTTTGTCCCCACTGACCTCCTGTCTGAGTAGTTCTTTGCCGGCTCTGTCTTGGTAGATTCTGCTGCCTTTACAACACTCATGAGACACAAACTTAAGCATTTGGAAAAGATGGTGCATAGATCAAAGCACTGACGCACTTCAGAGGTGGGGGGACTTTGGAGGTCCTCTTGACCAATATTCTTTTCTTCTCGGGAAGTCATGAAGTAGAACTTGTGCACAGTACCTGCCTTGAACAAAGGGATATGATTTTTATTTTATTTTATTTTGTAGATTCCAGGACTGCTGCAGGTGAATTAGGTATGGTTTCAGGAAAGGAACGTTTATTCTGTGGGCTTTATATAAAATAGTGAGCTGGGTGTTGGGAGGAGGGGGTGGGCGTGGACAGGGAAGAGGGCTTTTGGGAAGATTTGCCAACGGAGCCTTATGTTGAATTATTTGTAAACATAATGTGGTCTGCCACAATGCGAAGACACAGAGAAACACATATCATTTTGCAGCTAATCGAAACAGGCCTCAGTATCTCAGCACACAGAAGCTCCTCTAGAGTCCCAGTCAGCCTCTGCCATGGGAAAGTTAGGATTGGCGTCTACCCCTGCCAGCCGTAAGCCAGGCGGTGCGCTCGCACATCACGTTCTGACCATCACCTACGGTCCAGTTCCCTTATCTAGCATGCCAGCGTGCTAGTCAGGCCTGAGTCCAGGTTAAGCCAGGGCTGGTTTTCAGCATCCTTGTTCTTCCAGAGATTTCTGGGTGAACAAAAGAGCATTGATCACATGTGTAAGTTTCTTTGCTTTACTGAAAGGTTTGGACAGATATCTTGAGTCTCTTCTTCCCTTTGCCAACACCTCAGCAAGCCTCCAAACCACCAGGGTAAATGCATCTTCTCTCCCCACTGTCCCTACTCCAGCCCCCGGGTTCCCTGGCCTTTCTTTCCCCCTCTTTTTAAAACAGCTGTATTAAGATACAATTCCTATAACATATAATTCAACTATTTAAAGTGTACAATGCAGTGGTTTTTTACTACGTTCACAGAGTTGTATAACCATCACCACAGTCAGTGATAGAACATTGTCATCACATCCCAAAAGAAATCCCATACCCCTTAGCAGCCACTCCCCATTCCCTGCGCCCCTCCCTCTAGCCCCAGGGACCCACTAATCTACTTTCCATCTCTGTAGATTTGCTATTCCAGACATTTCATGTAAATGTCAATATGGATTTTTGTGTGTGTGATTGGCTTCTTTCATTTAAAATAATGTTTTCAAAGTTCATCCGTGTTGCAGCATGCGTCAGTATTTTGTTCCTTTGTATGGCCAAATAATATTCCATAGTATGGACATGCCGCATTTTGTTTACCCGTTCACTGGTTGATGGACATTTGGATCGTTTCCACCTTTTGGATGCTATGAATGAGGCTGCTATAAACATTTGTACAAGTTTTTGTGTGAATATATATTTGTATTTCTCTTAGGTATATACCAAGGAATGAAATTTGCTGGGCCATAGGATAACTCTGTTTAACATTTTGAGGAACTGCCAAACTGTTTTCCAAAGTGGCTATACCATTTTATTAGGTTGGTGCCAAGGTAATTGCGGTTTCGGACTGTGAATTTTAAATCATTCTATTAATATATTCCCACCAGCGATCTATGAGGATTCCAATTCCTCTACATCTTCCCCAACAGTTGTTACTCTCTTTGATTATAGCCATCCTAGCATGTGTGAAGTAATATTTTGTTATAGCTTTAATTTGCATTTCCCTAATGACTAACGATGTTGAGCATCTTTTCATGTGCTTATTGGATTTTTGTATATCTTCTTTGAAAAAAAATGAATATTCAGATCCTTTGCCCCCTTTTTAAATGGGCTATTTATCTTTTCATTATTGAGTTAAAGAATTCCTTATATTTTCTGGATATGAGTTCTTTGTCAGATATATGATTTGTAAATATTTTCTCTAGTTCTGTGGGTTGTCTTTTCACTTGCTTGATGGTATCCTTTGAAGCACAAAAGATTTACATTTTGAAGAAGTCTCATTTATTATATCTGTTCTTTTGTCACTTGCGCTCTTGGCGGTGTAGCTAAGAAGGCTTTTCCTAACCCAAGGTCACAAACGTTTACTCCTATGTTTAAGAGTTTTATAGTTTTAGATCTTCCATTTGGGTCCATGATCCACTTTGAGTTAATTTCTGTGTGTGGTCTAGGAAAGGCGTCTCACTGCATTCTTTTCCATGTGGATGTCTAGTTGTCCCAGTACCGTTCATTAAAGGCTGTTGTTTCCCCATTGAATCGTCTTGGCACCCTTGTTGAAAATCAGTTCTCTGTAAGTGTGAGAATTTATTTCTGGACTCTCAGTCCTATTCCATTGATGTATATGTTTATCCTGATGCCACTTCTACCCTTCTTGATAACAGTAGCCTTATCTTATGTTTGAATGGAAAAGATAGGGCAGGAATGGGCAGTCTAGACTTTTCCCTTCTTTCCCTGATCTGACCAGTTATTGGATTCTTTAGATCCCTCCTCAAGCTTTCAACCACACTTTATTTCTCCTCTGTTCATCTTTATGATGCATCCTCTTGTTGGTTTCATTAGGAGATGATATTCAAGTAGTCCTGCCTGGCACCTTAGTTTTCTGCCAGCAATGCCCCCTAACCTCATTCTAACTCAGTTGCTTGGCTCTGATGGGCTTTCTCAGATGTATAGAATTAAACATTTGGGCTGTGAAAAGATGCTCTGGTTTCTGAAACTCTCTAGCTGATTAAGTTCAGGATAAGCTTACGGTACTGTTAAAAGATTTAAAGATCTTTGCAAAAGGCTATGCAAGCAATTCCAACAGGTAGCTCTCCCAAGTGGGCTGGGATATAGGCTTTCAAAGCCTATTCTTGCCCTCCCTGGGCCTTTCCTTCCTGGCAGGCATCTGCAGTGTTGTTTCATGGGCATGGGATCTGCTGATATTGGCAGAAATACCCATGGATAAATGGAGGACAGGCAAGAGATCTGCCCAAAGAGTTGGGACTCTAGACAGGACCACTTATCATCACTTCAAGTTGCTAAACCAAAGAATACAAGGCCTATGTGACATCTAGAATTAACAATAACCGTCGTCCTGCGATTGTTGCCATTTTTCTGTTGTGAACTGTGTGCAGCATAAGCTCATTTTCAGATGATAGTGCCTAGAGTTGACACTATGAACTGTATCGTAATTTAAGCCACTTTTAATTTGGACATTAAAAAATCTGTACACAGTAGCCGCCCTTCATCGAGAGCTGCTTCTATTAAAGGCCCTGCCCATGCAAAGGAGGCAGGGAAGTGAACATACCAAAGGCAAGGGTTGCGAGGACAGGTTCTGGATTCAGTCTGCGTGAACGCAGTTCCTCCTCAGTGATCTTGGATAAGTTATTTAATCCACCTATGTCTCAGTTTCCTCATATTTAAGGTGGTGATGAGAATAGCACCACCTTCTAGAATTGTTACAAGGTGGAAATCCCGTGTAAAGGACTTAACACAGGTGAGTGTTGGCAAACTTTTTTTTGTAAAGAGCCAGACACAGTAAACCTTTTAGGTTTTGTGACACACCATAGGCCTTGTGGTCTCCGCCACAACCACTCAGCTGTGCTGTTGTAGCTCGAAAGCAGCAGTAGACAATCTGCAAACAGATGGGTGTGGCTATGTTCCAATAGTGCTGCATTTTTAAAAGACAGGTGGTGGGCTCGATTTGGTCTGCAGGCTGTCATTTGCCAACCCCTGGCTTAGCACAGGGCCTGGCACTTAGTGGGTTTTTCATAAACATCAGCCATTCTCCCAGCTTGCAGACTGCCCCTTGACGCCGGTTCCCTTACTCACTCACTCCGTGTTTTTACAGAATGTCGAGGTCCTGGCCAGCCGGAGCCATGCTTCAGAGCAAAACCAGGTGGGGGCCGAAACGCGCGTGAAGCTTCTGCAGGAGGAGAACGAGAAGCTGCAGGGAAGGATTGGAGAGCTGGAGCGAAGAGTCGCTCAGCTTCAGAGGCAGATTGATGACATGAAAGGCGACGAAGCCAAAGCGAAGGAAACGCTCAAGAAGTACGAGGTAAGGCTCGCCGGGCCCAAGCCAGGGTCTGGCAGCTGTGGATCCTTCTTTCCCATGTAAATGGTTTCAGAAGTGGGGAAGGGATTTCTTACCATAAGTCAGTAGGAGGGGTCAAGGCACTAGTGAATATATCCCCTGTGCAAGCCATTGCTTTTGTTCCTCTGGGAGGGGTGTGAGTGGAGGGGGACAGGGACAAAGAGTCAGGTGGGAATCACAGCCCCACTCACCCAGGTGTCAGGCCCCTTCAGTCTTCTGAGCCTTCGCAGAGGCCGCCAAACACCCGACAAGGGTATCTTGACACCACCATTAGACCGATTCGCACTTGAGGCTATTTATTCTTTTTTAACACATAGATGATGTTTTTGAAGGTACACAGGTTTTAACAAACCAATTATCTGGTTAGCTAGACCGCTGGAAGTGGGAAGCTGTTAGCGAGGGATGCACACTGATGGCGGTAACAAAGGGCGGCTGATGACAAAAGAGGGGACAAACATGGTCATTGTCTTAGACCATCTTCTGCTGCTGTAACAGAACACCACAGACTGGGTAATTTACAAATAATAGAAATTTATTTCTTACGGTTCTGAAAGCTGGGACATCTAATAGCATGGTGCTGGCATCTGGCAAGGGCGTTCTTGCTGTGTCATAATGTGAAAGGCGTCACATAGTGAAAGGGCAGGGAGGGGGAGAGGGACTGACCAAAGGGGGCTGAGCTCATCCTTTAAAAGGAACCCATTCCCTCCACGATGGCACTAACCCACATTAATCCATTCATGAGGACAGAGCTCTCTCAGCCTAATCACCTCTTAAAGGTCCTGCCTTTTAATACTGTTACAATGGTGATTAAGTTTCCAACACATGGTTTTGGGGGGGACGCATTCAAGCCATAGCAGTCATCCGTCAGAATCACCTGGATACCTTTCGCAAAACTGTATGTGCCTGGGTCCATTCAATACCTGCTGTTTCCGGATCTCCAGGGGTAAGGCCGGGTGTTTGCATCTTAAAAAAAAATCACCCCAGGTATCTGGATGGTCACACCTGACTAAGAACTGAAGCTGCAGGTGGCACACGCATCCAAGAACACGGCTGTTGTGTGTCATCTTGGCCCATGACAGGCACGTCGTGACCACAGCCACTGCTGTGTCTGTGGGTGTCTTCTGCATTCGTTTCATTCCACCCAGTCAGTTGTTTTCAAGGCGCGGCACACATCCAGGTGCACACTGACCCAGCGTTTTGTCATAGGGAGAAATACGGCAATTAGAAGAGGCCCTTGTGCATGCCAGAAAGGAAGGAAAAGAAGCTGCATCAGCCAGAAGGGCCCTGGAGAGTGAATTGGAGGACACTCAGGTAACACTGAGGGCTGTTGTCATTACTCCCTCGTAAAGGAAACCCAGAGAAGCAAAATTGGAGGGACATGCAGAAACTGTCACTGGTCCTCTCTTCCTAGGTGGCTAGCTCCCTTTCACCCATAACAACCACCCTGGGCTTTGAACTGTCCATTTAGACTGTGATGCTCAACTGAGGGATATTTGGTAATGTCTAAAGACATTTTTGGTTGTCACACGAGGGAGGTGCTACTGGCAGGTAGCCGGTGGAGGCCAGGGATGCTGCCAAAAATCCTACAAAGCGCAGGACAGCCCCACAACAGAGGATCATCTGGCCACGGATGTCAGGAGTGCCAGGGTTGAGAAACCTTGACATTAAAGAGCTTGACAGCTTTCCAAAGATAAAATATGAATTGTGTGAAAGGCTGGCAGGATCGGTCCCGAGGCAGTGCGGAGGCGGCTTTCCGGCAGAAGCCAATTTCCCTTCTCCTCTGGGCAAATGCACCCCGTAGAGCACAGTCCTTCAAGGTGGCTGTGAGAAGGGGCAGGAGGAAGTCGTTCCTTGAAACTGGATAACTATCTCTATTCAAAATCAGTAAGTTCTTAGAAAATTAGATTTTCCCATTTGAAGCTTAGAAAGATTATTTGAAGTACATTCTGAAGAAAAGCCTGGACTGAAGTTCTAAATTGACTTTGCACAGTGACCCCAGTGTCATCCAGGTGTGTCCTTCCTGCTGTTGGCTCTCAGGTTCTAAAGAACCAGTACCCAAGCACCCCCCAGGTGAGTTTCTGAGGAGGTAAAAAGCCAGGAAGGTTGTTGAAGTTTCCTTAGGGACCCACTTGGAGGAGGGTAGGTGGGGGAAGGCACATTGCGAGCACTGAGCTGAGTTAGGATGCAGATCTGTAAATGTCTCAGTGCAGCTTCCCTTAAAGGTACAGGGCTTCGTCTCCTCAGGGTGTATTGAACAGAAGGGGGTCACACAGGTCAGCCACAACTCAGGGACTCTCATCCCCAAATCAGAGAGGCCTACGCCTTCTCCCTGGCTTTGGAAGGAAATTGTTTTTGTTTATAGTAAAGTCCTGATTTGTTCTAGTTCTGTGTCTGACTGCCTTCCCTTAGATTTTTTTTTTCTTTCTTTGTTTTTCTTTCTTTAACTCTAGATCTTTGTTACAAAATCTTGCTGGGTTGATTTGGTGCAGATGGCAGTTTCCCCATGTTGTTATTTAAGGCTTGGGGTGGCTACTGTTACCTAACCCAGCTGCCAAAGCGTCGGGTTTAAATCTGTGAGCTGGTGGGGGGCAGAAAGAGAGGAAAGACATTGGTACACTGCAGGGACAGACATCTGCACCTTCGTGTCACGTCCACACCAAACACAGGGCGCAGCTATGAGAGTCTCTCAGAACTTTTCTTTTGGTCAAAAAGAACTTTTCGCACAGATGGAAGTAGTTTCCCGGCAGGGAATCTGCAGCTCATGGGTAATTCAGCATATAGAACAGATGATGGCCTCAAGGCCAAAAGATCTTAATGGAATCCCCACCCACCCCGCCTCCCGATCTCTAGCCTTGCTTTTGGAAAGGCTCCCGGACGGGTTACTTTTGTTGAGCCTGTTTTCCCAATGGTGTGGAGAAGGGGAGCATGCCTCATGGGGTGGGTGGCCGTGCTAGCCACCGGCAGTGCAGTTTCACCATCTTTACCTGAATTATCTGGTCTCAAAGGGAGTGCCAGGAAAAGTACACCATCACTCTGCAATACTGTGCCTTCTCTAAAACCGGGAACCAGAGAGTCAGCTCCTTTTGTCTGGTCTCTTTCTGCATGCCTGTCGACCTTGAAGCTGGCAACCCACAGGGAACTTAGCCCTGGAGGAAGAGGAAAAAGTAACTGGTATTTTTCTCACACAAACATTATATGTTTCAAAATCTTTGTGCCTGTAGCAATCTGTTGCCTCTTCCTGTAGGATAAATATATTTCTTTACATAGTAGCTGAAGGCCATGGTGAACTTACATCTGATTTACTGTGACTCAGTCAAAAAGTGGCCGAGGGTCACGAAGGCACCAGCCTTGGTGTGCTGACCCCAGACTTGGTTCAGGACCTTGCTGCCGTCCGTGCCTACTTGAACTGTGTTCAGGGCAAAGACACCTCTGATTGCGTTTACAAGTGCCTTGTGCAGATGGGGAGGTGAAGAAGTCTTTTCTGGAGAAGCCACAGTTCTTTCCTTCAGGGAGGGATACTGGTACACATTCTCCATGTCTTCACCTCCCACCCTATTGGACTTTGCGTATGGAGACAACAAAGGAAAAAGCCCCAATGTTTCCACCGTTGCAGCCCATAGACATGGTGTGGCAAGGGCTCTGAGAAGACCAACTTCCTTTTGGTCAAGCTACTCATTCCTTGAGAACCGGTAGGCTCACGTGTACCTCGGTGATTGTTAATATGGGCTAACTGGGGCCTTATTTAGTCATATAGTAAAAGGCTCTTCATCCATCGACAGGATGACTCACTATACATCCACCAACGTTGTGTCTGGGATTCTCTGACCTGATACGTTTTCTCCAAATTTCTGTCCCATTATTGGTCAGTGGGCTCGTATTGCTGGTCTTGGACATATGGTCACTGTAGTAGCTACAGAGCATTTCACTCCGAACATGGTTCACGTGAAGGGTTAAAAAAAAATGCAAAGTTGCCAAGTTAGCTTCTTTTCATGTGAAATTGGGACATGTTTTCTCAGCAGTGACTTATTGAAACATATTTCTTGAATAACTGCAGAGGCAGAATATTATTTTAAACAATGTTCAAAACTTAGGATATATTGGAATTATCTGGGGAACTTTCAAACGCAAGTTTGTGGGCCCCATGCTAAGAAAAATTGTGACTCCATCAGAAAGAGCTAGAATCTATAATACATTTTAAGTAATGGGCACCCCACCCTCGCATGGTGATTCTGATATAAGAAGTCTTCAGATCACTTTAGGGAATAGGTAAAACCACTAAGTTTTTAACATATACCTAATAGCGAATATACCCAGATAGATAGAAAATCTATTCCTTGCCTTTACAGATCTTACTACCCTGCGATAGAGGCAAGATACAAGAATATTTTGTAATAATTTAGCAAAATTCTCCTTCTAGACAATGCATGTTTGGGGGGTGGGGTGTGTTGGCAGGCCCTGGGTGCAGAGTGGTGAGTCCGTGGTGTCTCTGGTGGCATAGGAGGGGAGGAGCGGGCAGCCCTGCCTGAGCAGAGTGAAGCAGAAATGCACGAGCAGTATGTAGGTTGAATGGAGTTGAGGCTAGCTTGGCTGTGGGCCCGGAGCTTTTGGGGTTGGGGTCCCAGAGGAGGAGAAAGAGAACAGGGGCATCTGTAGAGGCAGGAGGCTGAGTTGGATCCTGAAGGTTCTGCAGGAAGCCATTGCTGGCCCTTTGTTGTTTTCACAAATTTACGTTTTTGAGATGCACATTCTGAATTTTCTCTCATATAAGAGAACCATTCCTTGCCAGTGCCATAACTCTTTCTTCTTACCCTTTTCCCCCAATGCCACTAAATAAACCATAAACAGAAGCCCCAGGGTTCGCCTCTGCATCTGGTGCATGCCCAGCTGTGGCTGTGGTGGGGCCCCTGCCTGCTAATTGCCCTCACGCTGAACTCCTGATTACCTTCCTTTTGCCACCTTTTCCCCAAGAGCTTTTGTCGACCTTGGTTCCCTACAGCAATTAACTCCAGCAGCCTGGCTGTGTTGGCTGCTTCTCAAAGCGCTGCCAGCCCGGTGGAGCCCAGGGGCCAGAAGGCTACCACGGGTGGTTTCTTGGCCTCACGTCATGTGGTTGGCAGCCCAGAGCTGTTCCATGCTCTGCAAACCAGGAGAGCCCAGAGTGATTTGGAGTGTTTTCAGGATCCTGAGTTACTGCATGTGACAGCTGCTTGTGAATGTTAAGCACTGTACAAATACAAACCATTGTTCCCACACAGCTTCGGTGGGGACCAAGGCCTGTAGGCCCTCGGTAGTTCAAGTAGTAACTCACACTCAGCCCTTGGCACCTGCTGGCATTTTCCAGGTGATCCAATCTCTGTTTGGGTCATGTTGCTCTCTTCTGAGCTGTGCCCCTTCCTGTTAGCCCCACACTGATGGCCTAACACTTGGTCATTTAAAGAAGCCACTATAACCTTCCTGAGATCTTTTAGGATTTTGTTTTGGAATTGCATGTTGTTTATATAAAGGACGTAAGTCAGTGTGACTGTTTGAGATGAGAGCCTCAGAGGAACCAGGGAGAACATTGTACCCAACATGGGTTGTATTTTATTATATAATAGGCATTTGGTGCTAGTATTTGGTGCTGAGTCACTAAAGACCACCCTTATGTACTTTTTCTCACTAGTGTCTCTTCCATTTAACACCTTGTGTCCATTCAGTTCATCCACCTGTGGGTTTCCAAATTCCTTTTTGTCTATGTTCGCGTCCAACTCACAGATGCTGTTGGTTGCAACATTGCAACTCCCTCTCCCAAGTGAGCCTCTGTCCTGTGGGACAGTGTTTTCTTTCCTTATGGGTGCATTTTTAGATATTCTAATTGTGAGAACCGTCTCCACAGCAGAGTAGATTCTAGAATATTAGTTGCAATGCTGATATCACAGGATATAAATTGCCAAGTAGGTTTAGGTTGGTCTAATGTATAACTTTACCTCAATTTTCAAGCACGAACATTCAGATTTTCAGCCCCATCCTGAATTCACCCCACCAGCAGCCTTGCCCACGTGTCTCTGTAATACATCCTCTGTCCCCTCCTGCCTGTGGATGTTTTTGGTTATGTGAACTTTCCTTTGCAGTCCCTGAATTTCAGAACCAGCAATGTCCTTGTGTCTCTGTCACAGCTTCATTTTGATCTTTTTCCTTATCACGGCTGTGACAGGTCTGATTGCTCTGTGTTGTGGCCAGGAAATCCCCTGTGCCCCCCGTCCCTGTGGCTACCCGGCAGGTAGGTGACTGCACTGTCCTCTCCCTGCCCTTGCAGAGGAACCTGATGCGGACCACCCAGGAGCAGAAGCAGCTGTCGGAGAAGCTGAAAGAGGAGACTGAGCAGAAGGAGCAGCTGAGAAGGCTGAAGACCGAGATGGAGAGCGAGCGGTGGCACCTTGACAAGACCATCGAGAAACTGCAGAAGGAGGTGAGGAAGCCGGAGGAGGAGGGGAAGGTGCAGGACCTGGCCCCCTTGAGGGTTGGGTGAAAACCAGGGAAGCCGCACTTAGGTCCAAGCACAAGCGTGTCAGGGATTTGCAAACCCCTTGAAGCAGCTCTTTAGACTTGATGAGAATCCCAGACAGAGAGAATCTGGTCTAGAAAAAGCAAATGCCTCTGGAATCTGGGCACTGTAATCACCTCCTAACAATTAGCAGAAGTCCAGTGCCTAAGTGCAGACTTAACTGGGTCCCCTGACTCAGAATCTACGTCTCCGTGTGGAGTCTCTGTGCGTTCGCCTCAATTTATTGTCCAGGAGTGTGGAAGGCAGTTTCAAAGCCCAGTCACTGCTGTTCCTCTGCTCTTCTCTGCCCAAACTACCCAGAAGGGGAGAGGCACAGGGCCAGTGGGCTCCCTGTATTTTGGGAGCTGACATGAGTGGCTCATTTTCTGACACCTATTATGGGTCAGGCGCTTTGCTAGCTCCTTTTGTTTCTCCCTAGAATTCAGTCTGTATCTGTGTATTGCTTTAGTTCTGACAACAACCCTGTGAAGTACATATGATTTATTTCCAATGAGGACAATGCTGAGGCTCAGAGAGGTGAAGGACGTGCCCTAGTCGTATACCGGCGAGTAGCACAGCAGGGACATCACCGCAGGTGATGCTCCAGAGGATATGCCTGCTCACTCCTCCGTGCTGCTTCCAAGTCAGAGGAGACCAAACCTGCCCAGCCCAGGACCAGGTGCCTGGCAGTCTTTGAGGGGCTGTGGAGGACGGAGGAGAGGAGCTGCGTTCCATGTTGAAATGGGACCCAAACCCAGCTCCCTGGTCTCGGATAGGGCATGGCAGGGTGGGCTCACATCTCTGTCACTTCTTCCAGATGGCCGACATTGTCGAAGCCTCCCGCACGTCCACACTGGAGCTGCAGAACCAGCTGGATGAGTACAAGGAGAAAAATCGCAGGGAGCTCGCAGAAATGCAAAGGCAGTTGAAGGAGAAAACCCTAGAGGCAGAAAAGTCCCGACTGACAGCCGTGAAAATGCAGGAGGAGGTAATGCCCGGCCAGATAAGTCCCTCCTCTGTCCTTCATTCACAGTGTCCTTCCAGCCGGCTTGGAAGCTCTTCTGGAAGGGACTTGAGGGTGTTTGTAAGACAGCTTTTGTGTGTGATCCTTTCATTTTAACCCTCAGGAGGGTCACCCGGGCAAATGACATTCTAAGACACAAAGGACCCACCGACTCTAAGGTGAAATGGACACAATTTTATCTTGACTATTTTCTTTATCAAAAATTTTCTGCCTAAAAAAGTTTAGCAGCCATTTATGGAGCAGCAGTGATGTGCCCGGTGGCATCCAAGTGATTTATCTGCTTTCATGTTTTAATTTAATCCTAGAACAAGGATTATAGGAACCGACTGTTTTGTTTTTTTTTTTTTTTGCCATTTATTTTTGAAAATACAGACTTTTATTAGAGTGGGAGTGGTGGATAAGAGTTTCAGAACAATAATAGAGACTAAAAGAAATCCTCAGGAATTTATGAGGACTGAAATTATTAAAACATATTCTTGGTTTTATATTTAAGAATAATAGAGCAAAGAAACCCAAATGTTAGCTGCCTTTAGTCGTGACCTCTAAAGAACTGAGAAAAATAAAGGGACTGTTTTTGATTGTTTTAATGAAAAGCTGGAGCCTCTAAAATGCAAGTACAGTGTACGGTGATTTCGGGCTACGCCTCTGGCCAGCCGGTGATTTTGAATGCTATCCCAGTTTTCTGAACGTCTGTTTCTACCTCTTTAAAAACACACAAAACATCAGTGACTTTAATTAAACAAGGTAACCTGTGAGACTGTGTCACAGAGGGTCTGTACATCCTGGACACTTAATAAATGTCAGGTTCCCTTTCTTTAATTTTAAGGCTTATTTTTTTCGTGTACAGTGCCAAGAGCACTAAGATTCCAAAGGAAAACAAGTTTTTCTTTAGAAAACAAACTTTTAATTTCTTTGATGATCAAAGAAAAGTCGCCCATGAGTCAGTGCTGAAACTGTGTAAAAGAACAATGGATATTTATTACAGACGTCTAGAACACTTCTGAAAGGACCCAGATAACAGACCCCCTCTGGCTCAGGCTCATAGGATACAGGGCTCCAAGTAAGAACTGGAATTAGCACGCTAAGTTACAGTTCTCTTTGGCATTAAGAAAAATCACGTTCATTTCTACAGCAGAGACAAAATCTGAAAATAATTCAGATATTTGCCAGAACACCAACAAACACCTGTTCTGTTTTGATTTCCAAAGGTCACTGTCACACTGACCCCCGCAGAATACTTCCCGCTGCTTTTTGTATCATGGTTTTTATGCTGGAATCTTTGGGTTGGAAGGAAACTTAGAGATCCTCTAGTTAGATAAGGAAACTGAGGCCCATAGTGATTTGTGAAGACCAGATGGAGACCAGTATTTTTTTAAAAGACCAATAATTCAAAAAAAGGATTCCGTACAATGAAAATATAACCCTTCCTAGATTTTCTCACTGGTATAGCCCTGTGAGATGCTGTTTCCATTTGAACAACAGACTTGTACACCTCATCATGCTGACAGGAAACTACAGAGATCCCACCCTTAATTCAGATGCTGAAGTCATGGAGCTGTTTAAAACCAAAGTGAATTGACAAGCCAAGTTCACTCTGGATCCTTAAAAAACTCAAGCTCAACTCTTCACTGCCCCCTCAGCCTGTGTTTTGGTTGAGCTGAGTTAAAGCTCTCAGTAAAAAAAAAAAAAAAAAAAAAAAAAGCTACAGGGGTCCATTATAAGTGCTATGGCATTTTTACCTATTCTGCCTCTGATGAAGATAATCTTTAGAGAATTGAGACGTCGAGGTCATCATTGTTCAGTTTATTTTCTAAATCCTACATAGCAAAGGGTGGTTTTAACTACTTGGAAAGTAGCAGTAGTAGGTTCAAAAGTTGTTTGCTTACTTTTGAATCAGGATAGGTCGTTCTCGGACACTGTACTAGTTATTCTCTTCTGCACGTCCTTGCCGAGTACTCTCGGTGTGGCAGAGCCCTTGCTAGGGGTGGGGAGGGACCTCCTGGGCATCGAAGGTGGGACTATACTGAGCAGCGGGGAGAGACGCGTTAGGTGTTGGGAAGGATGCCAAGAAGAAAATGCGGGCTGTCCATTTGCCTGTCATTCTTTCTGACTCTCAAACCCACTTTTTGAAAAATTTTGGAGTTTCATCTCATTCGATTCTCATACTAGCTTTAGGAGGTTGGTTTTGTAATTATCCCAATGTTGCAAATGAGGAAACTGAGTCACGGAGAGAGTTAATGCTCTGGAGTATAGCGCATCTTCTGTATTCAGAGGATGCCCCATCATCCTCTTTCCACGGGATGGTTTTCACTCCATGATTTCATGAACGGTTTCTCCCACGGTGACTACCCAAACCAGACGAGATGTCACCTTCAAGGCAAGGCTGTTTTCATAGAAATGTCAGGTGTTCCCGGCAGCCTCCAAGAGAAAAACACATGCCTGAAGTTTCCCATTGGTCTTCCTTAAACTAGCCTCCTGTGTTGGGGCTTCCCCAACTCTTCTGTGACAAACACCCCAAAAGGGTGGTATTCTGTAGTGGAGTTTGCCACGCACTTTCTTATACTCTCTGAAGGAAATAAACCACCAGTATATTCTATTCCTAAGACTGCTGGACCATCTGCAGGAGGGTTAGGGTGTTAGGAACAAAACAGACAGCCTTGGGCTTCACCTGATCAGTCCACACAGGTGTTTCAGGAGTACTGAGGTGGCTAGTCTCCCTGGGGAGATTCCAGAGGGCTTGAAAACACTGGCTGGCCCTTGTGAATCCAGTGGTTTTGTCCTGTTTACTTTCTTCAAAGCTGTTAGTTCAGTGCCCCCTTGTGGATGAAATAAAAAAAACACTGTAAATTTTGCTAGCTGTGGTTCTACAAAACAGTGGTTTTCCCCTAATGGGCATATTTATATTGTTAGATTTTGTGCCTGTAAGTTGCTTTGGGGTCATTAATTTAGGTTTTTCCTTTTTTTAAGTTTTTTTTATTCCGTAACTTTAAACCTTTCGAGGTGATGCTGATACAGGTGGGAAGCATGTATCTGGTTGAGTGGCTTTCCAGTGTTTTTGGCATGACCTGTAGTAAGAATTCCATGTTGCATTGCAACCCAGGAATATATACATCCACACAAACATATGAATATCTAGTACAAAAGATTCATAAAACAATATTCGCTCATACTCCAATATTTTTCTGTTCTATTTAATCAAAAAATGGTGGTCAACGTGTATTAAATAGGATTTATAACCTATGGGTTGCTACCTATAGCTGGAAAATCCACTCTTTTTACAGAAAAAAAAGGCACAGAAGGAGGTGGGACTTGCCCAAGGTTTTCTGATGTCTCGTATAGTAGGGGTCCACTAGGTCTTCTCTTCTTTAGGGTCAGCCTGTGTACTGCCTGTGGAGGTCCTGTGCTCCTAATGTACCCCAGAAAACCACCCCAACTCTGTCTCATCCTAGATGCGTCTGATGGAAGAAGAGTTACGGGACTACCAGCGAGCGCAGGATGAAGCGCTCACGAAAAGGCAGCTCCTGGAGCAGACGCTGAAGGACCTGGAGTACGAGCTGGAGGCCAAGACTCACCTCAAAGATGACCGCGGCAGACTAGTCAAGCAGATGGAGGTCTGTAGGCCGCGCGGTGTGAGCCGGGAGCCAGTGGAGAGCGAGTCTGGGGCACCAGGGAGGCAGCCTCTCTGCTCATACCTCAGCCTTCCGGCATCCTGGGTTTTTATTCTCTCCAACAGCCAAGTGTTAGGTGATTTCTTGATTTGAGGAAGAAGCAGGTAGTTCCTAGACTCATAGGACGTCGGAGCTGGAAGGAGTGATGGACATAATGTTGTCTAATGTCCTCATTGTCATGAAGAGGAAATGGAACAGAGTCCCAGAGAGGTTAGGATTTTGCATAAGGGCACAGATAGTTCCTTTTCTGTTTGTTCTTTGGGGGCAGTGCTTCCAACAAGACTGTTGCATGTCCAGAGAGGGGCAGAGATGTGCCTTGGGCCCAAACCACCTGCCTCCTAGCAGTCATTAGCCCTCATGTGCCACACCACATACTGCATTCCTGTTTCCTGTTTCTGGTCCATTTTCCCTTGCGGGTTATCTGGCTTTGCCAGAGCTGGCAGCAAACTGCGGCTCTCTTCGTTGTTGTGTACACAGTATATACATGGACCAAGACAGTGTATCGGAAGGGGCTCAATGCTCTCACCGGATGGGGGTGATTTGTTCACAAGCTGAAAACACAACATACTAGAAAAACGTAAATGAAGTAATAGAATCTAAGTACGAACAATCCACTGAGAATGACAGGAAGAACCTTAAAATGTGTCCATTTGAACTTCTAAAAAGAACAATTCTCAAGAACAAAACTAACCCCAAACCGGAAATGAAAACACACACACACACACACACACACACACACACACACACACCCCACCACCACCACCACCACCCCCCCCCACCCCGTGGAATTTAGAGACAGATAGAGACACTGAAAAATAAGCCTTTGGCTTTTGGGAGAAGTTAAAATTGTCAAGGTTTTGATAAAAGACAGACAGTGCTCAAGGCCAGGGAGAGATGGCTGAATTCAAAATCAATGGAATTCCTGTTTCAACTTTGCAAATAAACAGAAATAACTTTTTAAAACCTCGAGGGGACTTAGTAGCAGTTTATATCTAGGGAGTGTTGTTTCAGTCATTGAAGATTTTATTAGATGGGCCTCTTTTAGAGATGAGAATAACCTGATTACGGTTTTATTACTCTTTTGCAAGATTGCTGTATATTTTGCTAATGTCCTTGTTCTGATCTCTTTAGGGGAGGTAATTTTAAGGCAAGCCAAGGTCAGCCTAGTTAACTACAAACTGACGATTCTGGGGCCTGAACAGCCTGGTTAAAAACAAGCTAAAGCTGCTTCAGGCAAATGGGCTCTGGCCTGGACCCCCCGAACGCTCCTGCTGGGTTCTGTGTGTACAGGTTTTGGGCAGGAGGAGAGCCCTGTGAAGAGTTGCTATTAGCTGAAGATTGGGTTGTCAGGTCATCTCCCTCTAGAATATCCTGACCAAAAAAACAACATTTCCGTTGGCTGACTTAAGGTCTAGAAGCAGTAGCCTAGCTAAGCTTTATTTGCACCTCTGCAATATTTTAGATATTCCTCCATTAATTACAAAATGAATAGCTCTCAAGGGCCAGCCACCTGAGGGGTGTTTCCTCCCCTGAGAGGCAGCTGGCAGGACTGCCTTGCTGTGACTAATGTCTAGCCTGTTCCTTCCCTCACACTTAAATTAATTCTCAGGACTTAAGAGGTCTCCCAAGGATGGACATTTTCTGTAAAATCAGAAACTCAGGGGGCTGTTGTAGGTAAACGCAGCTCTTGCAGTGATTTCCAACTACAGTAAAATTGGCCTTGGAGGAATTGGGGACCACCAAACAAATAGGAGGCTCCAGTGCAGGACCCGGCTCTGTTCAAAGTTGGTCTTTGGGATGTTTGGCTCCTGGGAGAGAGCTTGTCAGCATCCCTGTAGATTTCGATCACTACCGGGGGGCAATTCACAGACATGCAGTCATTCACACGAGTTCTGTGCATTTTATTTTTGGTGCTCACAGAGGCATCCATTGCTTGTCAATCAACTTTGGCAATTGCACAGACGACATTTATATACAAATGCTGCAAGGTCATGTTTAAAACTCAGAATGCCAATTGCTTTTTTAGCATTAGTGGCTCTGAGTTTACCCAGACATATGACAAATTGGCTGGTGACAGGAGAAATACATGCACAAACCCCACGACTCTCCAGTTCTATGTGGGGTGGTTTGTGTGAGAAGCCTTTTTCCATATACTAGACTACTTTAAAATACTTTTAACACTTAATTATGTTACATTAGGAGCCATCGAGGAAGACACAAATCATTATTCTTAGGTAATGATGAGTTTAGCAGAATTGGTCAGCCTGTCTTTGTGTAAATCCAGTGCAGATTTGGGAGTACACAGTGCGAAGTGCATGGTGTTTGCTGCAAAAGAGAGGCAAGTGCAAAAGGCTGCTGTAGCCTTTACTCCTGCAAGGCTCTTGGAAATCCTGAGCAGGAGGGAGGCCAAACAGTGTCCTGAGCGTGACGTATGTAGAGAAATGTTCCTTGGTTGGTATCTCAGCTCTCACATTGTCTTTTATTTGTTTCATTCTTAAATTTTTTTCTACGTTGTCTTTTAACAGGCTTAGGTGGATCTGTTTGAAGTTACTGATTCATAGAAAGAAAAAAGACTTGAAGGAAACATGCTAAAATATCCTTAGTGTTTGTGTTAGGGTTTGGGGTAATATTTTTTCTTCTTTTATGTGTTTTAGACACACATGGTTATATTCTACATTGCAAAAGTAATAAAACACACAGTTTTTAAAATATCTGCTTTGCGCAGTGTAAGAAATAGATCATTTTTCCAAACCCTGATGATACTCAGCTCTCATTTGTCCTTGGGGTTTTCCTTCCACAGGGCTCTCCTTGCCCCTAATCCGGCTCGGTGCAAGTTAAACAGGCTGTGTTTGTGACCTTTTTCCTAGGACAAGGTGTCTCAACTGGAGATGGAGCTGGAAGAAGAAAGAAACAACTCGGATTTGCTGTCTGAGAGGATCTCCAGGAGCAGGGAGCAGGTACTGTCCTATAGCTGAGCCATGAGTGGATTGTCCTGTGTGGAAAGGAGGCATGAGAGGTGAAACCTGAGGATTCAGTGAGGGCAGGGAGGGAAAGTTCGTGCACTGCAGAAATGGGTGGGAGATTGGTTAGTCTTCACCATAATGGGTCATAGGAGAGAGGTATAATAAATAACATAAAGCAGAAACTGGAAGTTTCCGGAGTGGTTGTGAATAACCATCTGTTAGCCATGATAGGCAAAGTGCTTTCAGAGCTGAGGCTCAAGAATCATTAGTTCAACAAGAAATTGTGTCAAATTTGGTTAGCTGGCACTACGTTCGGTGGACACAAAGTAAACTCTCGGACACAGCCTTTTCCTTGAAGAGCTTTACAAGCTATTGAGCAATACATATGCTAATGTATTGCATGATACATTAGCTCCACATACCTGTGGAGCATTCACAATATGGTAAAATTACCCTCCAGATGAGTGCTTTTTGCAGTTTTGAAAGGAGTTTCACTGCTATTTGATCTTTGAGGTGCCACCATGAGGCAGTCGGGGAGAGTTCTCGTTCTCCCATTGTAGACGTTAGACCAAATTTCCCAAGCTACGTGCTTCAGCATCCCAAGGTTTTTGGATTTTGTTTCCATTTTTTAATTAAGTGAAGGTTCCGAGTGGCTATGTGACTGACGTGCTGGGAGTGGCAAGGGTAGAGGAGAGTGGTCATGTTGCTGGAAAGTGGTGGCACTGTTAATTAATTTCTGTGTCCCTAGTGCATGCCCAAACCACCTGACAGATAAAATACGGAAACATCTGGGGACAAGGATTCAGAGCACTCGGTGGCAGTTTTGAAGAGAATTCATTTGTATTCTCTAATCTCAGGCTTTCATTGACACAATACCTGTGGATACATGCGGGAACTTCTGAGAGGGTGTGCTTCCAATGACAGCTTACTCAGCTGTATGTCTAGGGCCTTAACATGGTACCAGAGGAGCTGTACCTTGACATTTAAAAAGTCCTTCACATCTTCCTTGACTAAGTTGGCACTTTCCTAATTAAAAACTGAAAACAAAACCTAAAATCCTTGGAATGACGCTCAGTATAGATTAGGAAATTATCTTATGAAGGGTTAAAATGTAAAATCTAAAATACAAGTAATTTGGGCAAAATCTTCCCTATCCACGAGGGAACTTTCCTCTGGTTTCTGTTCTTCTTACTCACTAAGGTATGTTTCCCTCTGCTCAGGGTGACCCAGAACTAGAAATCCCAGTGCACAGGAATCACACCATATGAGCTGGCAGCCCCCGCCCAAAGTTGAATGTGAATCACTGGCGTCCTTTCCATATCTCGTGTATCCTGTTGACAGTCTTCTTTGCAAACAAGTGTGATCCTCATGCTGCTGTGCTCCCGAGAGTGAAGGAAATTGCAACCCCAGGCTCTATCCGCCTTCCCCGCTGAGTGTGGGTTCTGTCTGCATGTTCCGGGCCTGTGCTAATAGCATTCCTCTGGAGGGGTGGCGGCCCGTCAGGCCTGAGCTGCAGCGGTTTAGAAAGGGACCTTCATGGAAACCAAAAGCCCAGATGGAGCACTCAACCTTGACATTTGGGCCACCCCCCACTCCCCCAAGTCCTTACTGAAGTGTGTGTTTTCTGAGTTCTCTGACCGGAATAAAAGCTGTTTTGTTATGAGTTCCTGCCAGCTTGGCTAAGTAGCTGCATTACCACAGGACGTTTCAGGACCTGCTAAGCATTCACAATGACAGAATAAGCGACCGTGGATTTGTTTTGCCAGCGTTTCTTGTGACTTATGCAGAAAGGAATGGTGGGAAAGTATGTTATCCTATCAATAACCAGGCAGTTAAAACAGACTTTCAGTCCCATGTTTCACACCAAAAACAAAACTCAGACACACTGAACCAGAACACGCTGGCCTCCCTTGGCTCGGCCGATGGCCCAGCGCTGAGAACTGATCACTTAGATAGCTGGTCCCACAATCGTTCGGGGCCCTTCTTTTTCCTCTCAACTGAGCACTTGGATCATGGGGAATAGAAGTGCCGCCTGTGATGTGGTCAAGCTTGAAAATGTTTCCACTGAGCCAAGAACTTGAAGTAAGTTTAGGGAGGAAGTTAAGGGAACTCACATGATCTGCTGGAACGAGCACTGGGCTGGGAGTCCCAGTCCTGGCTCCTGCACCAGCCCCATGGAGCTCAGGGAAGGTCCCAGCCTTTCTGAGCTCAGTCTCTAAAATCTGCCAAAATGAGGCTATTGCTCCAGGGGTTTCCTGAAGGCTATTCTAAACTCTAACACTGAAATGCTATGAGAAGGATTTCAACCAACAGTGTCTGATTCAGCCTTTCATTTCTTCTAGTCTCTCCCTGTATCTCAGTTATATGCCCGAAAGGATGAGTCCCACAGATGTCTACAGCCTCTTCCCTTATTAATTCTTTTTCCCTCTTCTGTTTTCTTACTTTTCACTGCATGATCTGGCATAGAGAAGGTAAAGCCTGGTGTTTGCTGTAAGTGGAGAAATTAAGCATCATGTTTAAATGGATGTAGGAATTGGTAAAAAAAATGAAACAAAAACCCTAAGATACTCCAGATCACAAAGTTCTGTAAAAAAAAAAAAAAATCAAATAACATAAAAATTTAAAAAGTAAAAATAAAAATTTAAAAAAGAAGAACAAAATCCCTGAGATAAAACGATGTCTCCTGATTGAGTTCTGAGAGCTTTTCCTCTGGCCTCTGCTGCCTCCTGGTTTGTAAGGGAGGTCAAAGAATTGGGTTGACCCAATACCTGCCTCCCTGGGAAGCATTTAATTCTCATTCAACGTTGGGGTTGATGCAAGACTTTTATTTACTGCCTCTTAAAGTGAAAGCTCCACGGAGAGGACCTTGGGTGTAGACACATGGGCCCTGATCCTGAAGCCATTTCATCCACTTAGGACCACGTGCCTGCTGCTTTCCTGCCAGAATCAGAGTGAGAAAATTCCAGGCTTAAGACCCTTATTCCTCTCCCCCTCAAATGCTGACCTTATGACACCTCCTGAACAAGAATGTCCCCTAAAGAACAGGAAATAGTGACTGTCATCTCAAACCCAGTTAATAGCACTGGCCCCAGATCCCTAGCAGGCTGCTACTAAGCACTGAAAAGGGAAGGCAGGGAGAATTTTATTTTTTGGATCTTGGTCTCTCTAAATTAAAAATTTAAATTTATAGCTCTCTCCATAAATTCAGAATTGTCACAAGCTCCTCTTCTGAATCTTTGCTTCCTTCAAATATCTCCCATTCTTTTTCCTAGTCTTAGAGATAGGGCTTACGTGAACGAGGCAGGAAAAAGGTTTTCCAGCAATATTAGCAGATGGCCAACCCCTCCCACAGATTCTTAGATCTGGAGAGGACCTCAGAGTTCAACTCTTCAGACTTCTGGGAATGGATGGGAGACTTAAGGCCCAGAGCCACCTGGTGATTTAGCTGCGGCGCTGGCCTTAGGTTCCCAAGACAGTGCTCTATCTACCAGTGCTTGCAAAATGTAACGAATACGTACTGTGTGCGTGGCATCGCAATAGCTACAAAATGATCAAAGTGGTCCCTGTCCTTGAGGTGCCATGGTTTGTTTGGGGAGATGGGCCAGACCTTAAAAATGGGTAACTAACAACAAAAGTTATCAGATACTAAAGGCCAAGCGAAGGATTTGAGCAACGCATGAGGGAAAGCCCATCACATTAATAGCAAGGGTGGGAGAGTTTCTAGGGGAAGGTGGACCTGGAGTCCGCTTTGAAAAATGATTAGATTTGGACAAGACACGAGGAGGGGGAATGGAAGCCTGGATAGAAGGAATGTTGTGAACAGAGCCTGGGAGGCAGGAATATATACAGCATTTCGAGGAGCAGTGAATGAACGAGTGTGGCTCAGTGGGGTTTCCGGTTTCCACAAGGGAACAACAAAAGGAGGTGGGTTTGCAGGGGCAGATTGAGAGTTTTGAATGGCCCAATCCTGAAGGCAATGGGGAGCCATCGAAGGATGTTGAGCAGAACGGGAAGCACACACAGTGTTCTAGAAGACGAAGGTGGCAGCGGTAAGGACTGGAGAAGGCGAGACTGGGAGGAGGCTTCCATGGGGCTGTCCCAGGGCCAGGGGACAGGAAAGGCAGCGTGAGACAAAGCATTCTGTGCTTCCCACGCCTCCGGTTTTTCTTTCCCTTTCTCATGTATACATTCGACACTCACTAAATGCTAACCACACTATTCATAAGTTCCCAGCCTTTCTAAGGCCTTTTTCCCCCATCCATACTCAGGAATAGTTTTATTCAGGGAATCCTAATAGAGAGGAAAGTTTTTCAGACCTCTGGGATGCTTGGCCTTGGGTACCAGATCTGGCCAATCTGAAGGAGAAGGGATGGGTTTGGATTTATAAAAGAAGAGAAAGTGATACCTTCTTTTATAAAACAGAGGTGAGGAGTATTTGTTTTCTCACCCAAATGTAGTTTCACCGTATACAGAATGGTTTCTGATTGACTTCTAAATTGAAGAAAAATTCAGTTAAACAGTGGATATTTTACTGGCTTTTGGTCTGTTTAAATCCAGAGAAGTCCCTTTTCCTCTCCTTCTATTTATGGCAACTGCCATCCTTACCAGGGATTTCCTAGATGCTAGGTGCTGTGCCGTGCGCCTGACATGCTTGTGTGTTGTTGTCAGATGAAGTGATTTCCTAGGGTCACACGGCTTGTGAGAGGTGGAGCCGCAATCTGACCCCAGAGCCTCCTGCCTCCATCAGGCTATGTAAGGGTCTTAAGCCCACCCCTCCAAGGACATCTGGGCCTCTCCTCCCAAGTTAAAAATGGTGTCATGTTGTTTCTTAGAATGGGTGAGGATTTAAGTTCACCTGATCCTTTCCTGGCTCCCCATCAGTACAGAATTCAAACAGCCAAACAGAGGTCTGACGTGGTGTGTCTAAATGTGCCCGGCAGGCTGGTGTTCTGGCTCAGTGGGCACTGCTGTCCTTGCTGGTGGCTGGAAGCAAA